TTGTCAGTTCCATAGCAGTATACATCCTCAGGAAAGACACAGAAAAGTAAAAAGACTACAGGGGTAGTCAAATAAGACGGCTCTACTACTTACAATGATGGGAACAGGACCCACCTCCAATAAAAGTTTTAGGCTCCTGAAACAACATAGAATAGACTGTGATTTGCATGGAAAAATCGAGCAATTTCAACCCCATTCCCATTTATTCATCATATGTGCTTGTGTGTATGTATACGCATGGTGTTTAAAACAAATCATTTAGACCCTTTAATATTTAAAATCAAATCATGAACAGCGAGCAGCCCAGAGAGCTCTGTCTTATGTACCATTGTGGCAAATACATCCCTCACCTTGTAGCGATTACTACAGGGTTAAACCAACAAAGGCATAAAAAGCTTAACCACCTGATATCTATATTCACTGGATATCCATATGGACTCATCCACGCAGAACAATTGAATGCTACAGCATCCATTTGATAAAGAGATTTCACAAAGAGGGTCGGGTGGTTCTGTACTTAGTCAGTATACGCGCCAGAAGAATGGAATGTCGTTTCATTTCGAAATAATTGGGAGCACGGTCGGAAAAGTGCGTTGTAGTGTCAAGACGGTTCGACCAACAACACTTTCAACACCCCAAATGATATTGCACTCACTCCAGCACACGTTCAAAGTCACACGCTTCTTCATCACATCAGCGGAAAGAAGGATGTAAAAATCGCCTATTTTCGTATTTACAAATGGAAACTCTCTCCGACGTGCACCGTGTACTATTATACGATTCCACCAGTCAGAGTTGGCTGCAGCATTAAAATTTTCACCTACTTGAAGAGATCAATTGTTCATGTTCTGCTTTTCACCAAAACTGTGTGCTAGAGTACGCACTCGAATATTTTTGCATTTTTTTAACAAATAGCAAAATCATCTGAGAGGAGGGGGTCACAAGTGATTTCTAAACCTATCAGTCAACCATAAAGTCGGAACTGATAGTAATAAGGGGTTGACTGGTGTCAGACTCGCAACATTTGCAATGCCTCAACCTTCACCAAAAGCAAGAAAGCGATATGATGCAAATCTCTGACATTCATTGAGGACAACATATGTCAGCAAATCGCACTAGACCATCCCTTGGTCTCCAACTTTGCAGTAAGATATGGGACCTAGAAGTAGCATCAAGCCATCACAAATAGTGGGAGCGAAATCGTTTATTTGTAGGCCAAGCCAGATAAGGAAAGAACCAAGTGTCCGTCTTATGGAATTCACCTTTGTCTATGAAGTTCACCGCCTAAGCGGAGCGCTCCAAGCACTGGCTTCATCAAATTCTGCATCCTTCGTTATTCAGCCCACAGGTGTAAAGTGCCATTCTAATTCGGAAGGTGTAGGCTAGAAAATGCGTTTGTGTCACATGTCTTTCCTTAATTGCTGCTTAAAATCAAGGGGTCATTACCGCCGTCAATAACGCCCTTAAAACATAAACCCCTCAGGTAGACATACCCATTCACAAAATTCGCACATCTCGCATCACCATAGCTTCCAGTTAGGGACTACACGGACTGCTTTATTTCTCCGCTCCCACTAAAAAAGCTTCATTCTGCTTCTTATTAATTCATTCTCACCTACCTCCAAACCAA